ACTCCTAGGAATATTGTAGCCAAATTCCAGAGTTCCCAGGTCAAGGAGAAAATATTACAAGCAGCCAGAAAGAAACAATTCAAGTATGGTGGAAACACAATCAGGATAACACAAGATTTAGCTGCTTTTACATTAAGGGACCACAGGGCATGGAATATAATATTCTGGAGAGCAAAGGAGATAGGATTACAGCCAAGAATCACCTACCCAGCAAAACTGAGTATAATTCTTCCAGGGAAGAAATGGTCATTCAGTGAAATAGAGGACTTTCAGGCATTCTTGATGAAAAGACCAGAGCTGAATAGAAAATTTGACTTTCAAATACAAGACTGAAGTGGAACATGAAGAGGGAAACAGGAAAGAGAAATCATAAGAGACTTATTAAGGTTGAACTGTTTATATTCTTGCATGGAAAGATGATATTTGCAACTCATGAGACTTTTGTCAGCATTAAGGTAGTTGGAGGGAAAAAATTTTATGTGTGTATATATATACATATAGATAGATGGATAGATAGATAGATACATACATAGATAGAGGGCACAGGGTGAGTTGAAGATGAAGGGGTCACATCTGCAGAATAAAATTAAGGGGTGAGAGAGGATTATACTAGGAGAAGGAGAAAGGGAAAGGTAGAACGGGGTAAATTATCTCACAAAAAAAAACAGAAAAGAAAATGCTCTTACAGTGGAGGGGAACCAGGGGAAGGTGAAAGGAAATGAGTGAGTCTTATTCTCATAGGATTTGACTTAAGGAGGGTGTAACATACACTCTCAATTGGGTATGGAAATCTGTCTTACCCTACAGGAAAATAGGAGGGGAAGTGGGGGAAAGCAGACCAGGGGAAGGGCTATTCAGAATGCATGCCATCTTGGGTTGGGGGGAGGGGGGAGATGGGGTGAAAATTTGGAACTCAAAATCTTGTGGAAGTAAATGTTGAAAACTAAAAATAAAAAAGAAAAGAATTTTTAAAAAATAGTGGACTTTCCCTAAGTGAGAGAATTCCATCTCCTGATTGGAGCTGAGACCCAATGTCTCTCTGAATCAAAGAGGTCACTGACTCTAGGCCATTCCTTATTATATTTCCATCTGTAGAATTTCTCTGATTTCTGCTGGCTTTTGCTTAGACAAATGATTTACCTGATTTACACTATTTCTGTTGAATTTTGAAAGTGCAGGCAGTCTGAGGATGGCCCATCTCCTACTCTCTTCAGATGTGGACTTGACCTCAGATCATATCTATCCATGCCCCCGTCAGCCATGTCTATAGCTTTACACAACTCACACACATTTATAGCCTATATGTACATTTTTCTAAATATACCTATATACATGTTTTCACTACCCCCAACTCTATTATAAGTTCTTTGAGAGGAGAAACTGCTTTAAGTTTGGTCTCTTTATCCCCAGCAACTAGGAGAGTTTCTGGTTCTTAGCAGGTTCTTCACAAAATACTTCTTGATTGATGGACCTCCATTTGACTGAAGCTAAGACAAGAAAACTGACTTGCCCATAGTCACCCAGAAAGGCAGTGTTGGGGCAGGATTCAAACCCAACTTCTGGGATTAAGCATACTACTCTATTAACTATATCATGATGTACCTTGTAAGTGTATTTCCCAGTGTTATGGATCCCAAATGACTGGGGAACAGTCAACCCATCTTTCTGTCACTGGGGATCCCTGCCTAAAGATGAGACTGTGAGGGAAGAAAAGATAAAGAAAAGACCTGAGACCCTAAGGAGAGTGAGAGGACCAGTATTAGTTTCTGCTGTTGGTTATGACTGACCAAGCACCTTTATCTCTGCTTGCCTGCAGGAGAGATTGTGATGGAGGCAAGTAGAGGTTAGCGAAAATAAAGACAATTTCCCTCCCTCCAAGTTCACAGAACATCCAGAAACTACTCATGAAACCTAGGTAAGAGTGCCTGGCATAAACAGAAATGTATGTATACCTATGAATATATATATTATATCATATGCATATATGTGTGAATTACTATTTGTCTTTATATGTATATGTATATTGCATGTTCATAGATCGGTGAAAGAGTAAATATATACATATATTTTTATGTCTTTGTAAGTATATATGCTTTTTTTTCCTTATTACAACCTTAAAATCCAGGGCTCCTGCCAGTCCAAGCCTCATTCCAATCCCCACCTGTAATCTAGGGAAATCTGAGACTCTTGGATCTCCATGGACAGCAGAATACCCAATTTCACTTTCAGAAAAGTTCTGTGAGATCTAGAAATAAAGTTAATGAACCAGGGGCCCACAAGGGATATTTCTTCCCTAAATTTCAAGAATCACAACTGATAACTATGCAAGGATAATGGAAAGATCAGTACATTGGAGATAATGGACCAACACTAATTCCCCTAATGCCCTTGTGTACAGGTCAGTGTTTAGAGACAATCAAAGTCTTTACCAGAGAAACACCATTTAAGAAGCTTTATGTGGACTTGAAGGCTTTGGGAAGTTCATGTCCTGAGGGCAGTGTTTGGGAAATCCCCACCCTTGAACCCTAAAAGCAAATAGAGAATCTCTTTTCCTGGGCCTATGTAATTAGGAGAAGAGGGAGGAGAATAAAAGGGTAAGAGAGGAACTTTCCTGAATCCTGCCCCTATCCCACTTGTCATGCCTCAGTGTCTGTCCAGGAGATTCCTGAGAAGGACAGGTACAGGCATCAGCAGCAGGACCAGGCACAGCAGCCATCAGGAACCTGGAGAGGAAAAAGGAAGTTCTCCATCTGGGGTCTTTCCTTGTAATTCTTTGTCATCCTTGGACCTACTGAAGATTTCTCTGTGAGTTTAATCCTTTCTATATACATTTACATTGATCCCCTCAAAGTACACAGCTAGAAAACTGGTCACTCTGGGAAATAAGGGGGAGGGAACAGAAGTTTCTGCTAATGTGTTCTGATGTTTTCTTTTTCCTTTGGAGGCAGGAGCAGCCCCCAGCCTTCAGACCCTTTTTCATATGGTCCCCAGCAGGGAGAGAGAGTTTTCTTTGGAGTGCTTCAGAAGCCCCTACAGCCCCAGGGTGTGAAAGTTCTTCTTCCCAATCCTCCAAGTCCAGGTTTTGGCTCAGGAGGAGTGGACTCCATAATGCCTTGATTTTCTCCTCTTCTCAGTCTGGATGAACAGAGCCACCCTTTCACAGACAGTTGGTCTTAAAGCCTATCATTTGTCAATAAAGAGGAGCTGGAGCCATAGAGCTCAACAATCCTAACACCTGCAGTTGGTCGTGCTCTGTGCTGGTCAATTACCTGGTTTGGCAGAGGTGAGCGCCTGGTGACCGCCCCCCCCCCCACTCTCAGAATATCAGCTACCTCAGAGCACAGACAGTTTCATTGTCCTTGTATTCCCAGCACCAAGCCCACCAAAAATTTGAAAATTGCTTTTGGCCCAGTATCTCAAAAGAATAAGTATCTAACAAATGTTTAATGCAGTTAGTGCAGTTTAATGCAGAAAACCAATAAAGAGATAATTGCATTTCCTTCCCTCCTTTCCACGGGTGAGTGACTGGATGTGGAACACTGTGTAGTACACTGCTGGACTTAGCTCATATGATGATTTGTTGTGTTGAAATATTTTTCTCTTCTTTTTTATTCTTTGATTATTTAAAATTGACTCAACGTGGGGGACAGTATATAGGATAAAAATTATGTAAAAACAAAATTTATTGACAGAAATTTTAAAATATAAATGCATGCATACATTAAATGAATAGACAAATGTCTGTTGCATTGAATTAAGTGGTTCAGCTCACCCTTAGTCCTGTCCACATGGATTGTAGAAGGAAGCCAACCCCCATATCCTAAAGAAAATGCAGAAGAGGGAAAAAATGAAGGGTAGGTTGGAATGTGGTCAGAGAAGAAAGGAGAGACAATGTACCCCCAACCTTCTCCAGAAGTCTCATTTCTATACCTCATTGTCACATCATGGCAAGCGAAAAGGGAAAGAGGAAAATGGAACAAGCTTTTTAAGGGCCTGCTATGTACCAGGCACAGTCTTAAACACTTTACAAACATTATCTCATTTGATTCTCTATAGAACCCTGTGAGGTTGTTACTATTATTGGCTTCATTTTACTGTTGAGGAACCTGAGAAAGACAGATGTTAAGTGACTTGTCCAGGGACACACAGCTAATGTGACCAATGAAAAGTCCAAGAGACATAATTTCTGGGTAATTAATAACCAAATTAGTTAACTATGGCTAGCCAATAGTAGATTGAAGTCACTAGCCCCACTGGAAGTCAAAGATGCCCCCTGGAGAGCATTGAATGTTTCAAGTGTTTGGAAAAAGGGGGTGTGCCAGAGAGTGGAAATTAACCCTGATTGGTTAAAAATCAATAAGGAGGTGGGTTGAAAGCCTTCAGCTCTACCTACTGTGGGTGTGATGAGGTTCAGCTGCGTCCAGTTATCTGGACAAAGACATCCCATTTCTACCCAGTCAACGAACAACGAACAACGGTGAGGTAAGAATAACAGATACATAAGATTATCTTTGTAAGATCTTCTAGTTGTGTGGGAGTGGGGTAGGGATGGGGAATGGGGTCCCACTCATGATCAAAAAACATGCACCCAGAGGATTTGGGCAATCTCATCCATCAGCAATGCCCTTCAGAGACTGACTGAATAACCTACAGGGGGCTGGTTTCTGAATGAGAAACTAGGAGAAAGTCTTAATCCTAATTGAATAATTGGTTATTAATATGAGTGAAATAATCATTTCTCTCACTGTATCCTCTCAGATACTCAGACACTCAGACATGTCTGAGACCAAATTTTAAGTCATTTTTTACTCTAGGCACATAACTGTGCAGTGGCACCACCTAGTTGCACCCTAGAGAAAGGGAGTGGGGAAGAGGAGGCTCTAATTCTTGAAGGTAAGATGGGAGTAAATCTCTGGAAAAGTCCCTGATGCAAGTCATTGTCTTCGTGTCCCCAGGGCACCTGAGAGGAGCAGGGCTTCCTGGGCCTGGGACCAACCACCATGGCTGCGTCCCCCACACCTGAGCAACTGGAATATTTTCATGACAACTCAACAGAGAGAAGTGCAAATGAGAGTTTAGTTCTTGTGGAACCTGGAAATTTTTATTTGAGTGACTGGATGGAGATCCTCTCTATGCTCATTGCTATAGTTGGGCTGGTGGGGAACAGTATCGTCCTGTGGCTTCTGGGCTTCTGCATCCCCAGGAACCCCTTCTCTGTCTACATCCTCAACCTGGCCGGGGCCGACGCCCTCTTCCTTTGTTGCTCCTTTCTGCACTCTGTACATGAATTATATTATTTTTCCATGGACAAGGTAGTGAAGTACCTCAGACACATGTTCTACACTATGGGCCTGAGCCTCCTGGCTTCGATCAGCACCGAGCGCTGTCTAGCCGTACTCTTCCCCATCTGGTACCGATGTCACCGGCCCAAGCACACGTCTGCAGCCGTGTGCACTGTCCTCTGGGCTCTGACCAGCCTGTTCTGGGCAATAGTTTATGTACTTTGTTTTTATAGGCTTGCCGATGATTTCTGTGATGGGCTCTTCGTCATCCAGGTAGTGTGGTTCTTCCTCCTTGCTTTTGTTCTGTGCGTGTCCAGCCTGACTCTGCTGCTGAGGGTCCAGTGCAGCTCCCAGCGCAGGCAGCCCCCAAGGCTCTACCTCCTTGTCCTGCTCACCGTCCTCGTGTTCCTGCTCTTTGCCCTGCCCCTGGGGATGGAACATATCATATGGAGCTTGGGCTTAGGTTTCACGCCTTCTTGGCTCAATCAGCTCCTAACCTGTGTGAACAGCAGTGCAAACCCCTTCATTTACTTCTTCCTGGGGAGCCGAAGGCATAGAAGAAAGAAGGAGCCCCTCAGAGTGGTCCTGCAGAGGGCCCTGGGGGATGAGCAGGAGGTGGGAGGTGAGACAAGGGATACCCCCCACACCAACAGTCCAGAGACATCATCCTGAGAGCAAAAACAAGATGATCAGACTTGTCAGCCCTTGAAATGAGCCACTGCCCCAGGCCCAGCTGCAGCCCCCTTTCCACCACCCAGGAGGGAAACCAGGATTCCCCCTTCCATCCCTTAGATTGGTGTCTAGGATTTGAACTTAAGTGATAAACAAGCTTTTATTAGGTGCCTAATATGCCAGGCAGCTGGGCAGTAAAGAAGAAAGAGCTACAGGGCCTGGAATGGGAAGAATTGAAGTCAAATTTGGCCTGAGACACCAGCTGTGTGACCCTGGGCAAGTCACTTAACTCTGTTTGCCTCAGTTTCTTCATCTGTAAAACCTGCCAGGAAAAAAATGGCAAACCCTTCCAGTATCTTTACCAAGAAAACCCCAGATGGGATCACAAACAGTCACATGACTGAACAACAAGACTATACCAGGAGCTGTACTAAGTGCTTTACAAAGACGGCATTTAATCCTCACAATATACCTGGGAGGTAGGTGCTCTCATGATCTACATTTCACACTTGAGGAAACTGAGGCAGGCAGAAGTTCAGTGACTTGCCCAGGGACCCAAAACAAGCAAATATCTGAGACTGGATTTAAATTCAGATCTTCCTGACTCCAGGCCCACTGTTCTGTGCACTTTGGAGCTCCCTAGCATGCTGGAAGCTTCTTCACCTAGGGAGTCAGGTCCAGGACCTCATGTGTCCATGGGGCCAAGCCCCCCCACCTTGTCTTCTTCTGTCAGGCTAGACCCACGAGGTTCCCTCAGGCCTCATTCCCCCTCCCCCTGCTCTAAAAAGAAGAGATTCCAGGTCAGCCATGTCCCCCCCTCCATTCCCTGTCAGTGCTCCTTTCCCTTCCCCCCTCCCACTCCCATCATAGGAGCTGAGCCAAATGCTTCTCTCCCTGGAAAGGTCAAGGCTGGGGCTCAGCATCCTCTCTTGTTTCCAGTCTGCCTCTCCACATCTCAGTCTCTCCGAGTCTCTATGTTTCTGTTTCTGTACTTCCTCAATTCCAATCTCTCTTTGACTCTGCATGACCCAATTCCTGGTGAGGGCAGGTATTATAGGCATGTTATATGAGAGGGCACACCCTAATGAGACCAAAGCAGGGGAAGGGGACACATCATCTCACCCATATACACATCACACACACCACACACATGTCACACGACATGCATACTGAGCACACATACACATGCACACACACATGCATTGAACAATGATCTCCTATGGAATATCACAACTGTGAGAGGTCATTCAGCCTTCATTTGATTCCTCCAGTGACAATGACCTTATTCTTTCCTCAGTGATTTCAGGTTCCATATTTCGGGTCACACATTCATGTGCCTGGTCCAGGCACAGAATGGTGTGATCATATGATTTTTTAAAACTTTTATTATTTATATAATCAATAATGTTGATAGTTTTCCTTATGTTAAAGCATCCTTGCCTTCCTGGTATAAATCCCACTTGGTCATAATATATGATCTTTGTAATATATTTCTGTAGTCTTTTAACTAGTATTTTATTTAGGATTTTTGCATCCATATTCATTAATGAAATTAGTCTATAATTTTCTTTTTTTCTGTTTTTACTCTTCCTGGTTTAGTTATAAGTATCAGATTTGTTTCATAAAAGGAGTTTGGTAGGGTCCCTTCTTTGCCTATTATTCCAAATAATTTATTTAATATTGGAATTAATTGATCTTTAAATGTTTGATAAGATTCACTTGTAAATCCATCTAGTCCTGGTGCTTTTTTTTAGGAAGTTCATTTATGGCCTGTTCAATTTCTGTTTTCTAAAATAGGCTTATTTAGATACTCTGTTTCCTTTTCTGCTAAAAATTTATGCAATTTATATTTTTAAAATATTCTTCATTTCACTTAAATCATTAAATTTATTGTCATATAATTGGGCAAAATAACTCCTTATAGTTGATTTAATTTCATCTTCATCAGTGGTAGGTTGACACTTTTCATTTTTCATAGTGGTGATTTCATTTTCTTCTCCTTTTTTAATCAAATTAACCAATTATTTATCTACTGTATTAGTTTTTTTGCTTAAAATCAATTCTTAGTTTTATCTATTAATTCAATGGATTTTTAACAATCAATGTTATAAATCTCACTTTAATTTTTAGGATTATTAAGTTAGAGTTTAATTGAGGATTTCTAACTTGTTCTTTTTCGAGTTTTTTTTTAATTTCATACCCCATTCATTGGTCTGCTCTTTCTTTATTTTATTGATGTATTTGGAGATATAAATTTTCTCCTGATTCTTGCTTTTACTGAATTTCATAGATTTTGGTATGTTGTCTCATTATTTGGCATTTTCTTAATGAAATTATTGTTTCTATGACTTGTTCTTGAACCCACTCATTCTTTAAGATTGGGTTGTTTAATCTCCAATTAGTTTTTAATCTATGTTTCTGTAGTCCCTTATTAAATATAATTTTATTGAATTTGCTCTGAAAGAGATACTTTCAATATTTATGCTTTTCTGATTTTAAATGTAACATTTTTACGTCCTAATATGTGGTCAGTCTTTGTAAAGGTACCATAAATTCCTGAGAAAAAAATGTGTATTTCTTTTTTCATTGACTTCTCTCCAGACACCTATCGTGTCTACCTTATCTAAAATGTGATTCATTTCCTTAGCTTCTTTCTTATTTACTTTTGGTTAGATTTTTCAGGTTCTGAGACAGGAATATTAAAGTCTCCTGTATTTCAGTGCTACTCTCTCTCTTAACCTCTAATTCACTTAACTTTTTTTAAATCTAGATGCTATTGTACTTGGTGCATATAAGTTCAGTATTCATATTGCTCCATTGTCGATGGTGTCTTTTATGAAAATAGAGTCACCCTGTTTATCTCTTTAATTAAGTCTATTTCAGTCTTAACTTTGTCTGAGATCATGATTGCTACCCTTGCCTTTTTTTGTATCAAGTAAAGCACAATAAATTCTATGCCAACCCTCCATTTTAACTGGGTGTGTATCTCCATTTTTAAATGTGTTTCTTATAAATAACATATTGTTGGATTCTGGTTTTTAAACTGCTTTGCTATCCATTTTCTATTTTAACTTACCTAGCAAAGTTGAGTATAATCCTTAATTTTTACAAATTGGGAATTTAATGAACTAAACAACTTTCAGGTGTTTACGACAAAAAAGATAGAATGAAATGGGAAATTGATAAGGAAGATCCAAAAGAAATATATGGAAAATATTAAAGACTAATTATGAAGACTCATTAAGGTCAAACAGTTTTCTTCTTAAGTGTAAAAATGTTATCAGCATTCTTAAAACTGTCATCATTACTAGAGTGGTTTGAAAGAAAAGTTGGGACTGAGTTGAGTATGATGGGTGATGCTAAAAAACAAGACAGTGGAGGAAAAAGTAAAAAGGAGCAATTATCTCAAAAAAATGGATCATGAAAGGAAGAAATGATAACAGAGAAAAAAGGTGGTGATGGAGGGCTGGTAGTGCTGGAACCTTACTCTCATGGGATCTGGGTGAAAGAAGGAAGGATAGCTCTCTTTTCTCTCGGCCTGGACAGCGGCAGGGTGGGTAAGTGCCATGGTCTTCGTACTACTAGAAAGCTCTGAAGCCACAGGAGAGACCAAAAGTGGCATGACAAACAGTAAAAGAAAGCTGATTTGGGCACTGCCTTGAAGGCCAACCCATTTGGGGGAGCATCTCATGTAAAAGAGATTATCTTGGAAAAATTTGGTGTGGAAGCCAACCAGCCTAATTCTGCCATCAGGAAGCGTGTGTGAGCCCAGCTGATTAAGAACAGCAAAAAAATCACTGCCTTTGTTCCCAATGATGGCTGCCTGAACTTTAATGAGGAAAATGATGAAGTTTTGGTTGCTGGATTTAGTCGAAAATGTCATACTGTTGGTGATATTCCTGGAGTCCGGTTCAAGGTTGTAAAAGTCACAAATATTTCTCTTCTGGCCTTGTACAAAGGCAAGAAGGAAACACTAAGATCATAAAAGTTGTCTGATGTCATTGTCATAGTAAAAAATTTTCATGTAACAAAAAAAAGAAGGAAAGATATAAAAGGGTATTAAAAAGTCCTAAACTTATAAAGAAATAAGAAGATGAGGGGACAGGAAAAGGGAGAGTCTTTTAGGAGGCTATATAGCTTTAGGAGGGTGGGGAGGTCATAAGGGTGAGACTCTTAGTGAAGTGGGTAGAATAAGGAATAGGAGTGTAAGGGGAGGGGATAAGGTAACAGGAATAGGGTAAAAAGAGAGGCTGAGAAGGGCAACAGGGAGTAAAAATAAGATGGAGGGAAATTTCCAAATAGGAATTATAACTTTGAATGTAAAATAATCCATTTTGATGTCAATGACATCTCCTCTCTAGAGGAGAGTTAGTTGTGAGCTCTATATGTGGAACAAATCCATTCAGCGTAGCTTTGGCTACTCTGAGAGATAATCAATAAAGTTCTCAAGCCATCAGCATTTCCTGTATGTCTTTCTATGTAGTTCCAATGGACACTAACAGGAAGGATAATATTAAAAAAAATATTAAAAAGCTGAAGCCAGGGAAATTAGCAATCCTGACACCAGCAGTTAGTTATGTTGTGTACTGGTCAAATTCCTGGTTTGGCAGGAGGTGAAGCCCTGGTGATGCATCCTCTTCCCCTCTGCCCACTCCCAGTAGAATATCTGCTACCACGTGGTAGGGACAGTTTCATTGTCTTTCTATTCCCAGTACCACACTTAATGGTGAAAATTATTCTCGACCCAGTATCTCAAAATAGTAAGTATTGAGTAAATGCTTGCTGCAGTTTGGTACAGAAAAAACAATAAAAAAGATTATTGCATTTCCTTCCCTCCTTTCCACAGAGTGACTCTGGGTGTGTATACTGTTTGACTCAATTCATGTGATGGTTAGTCATACTGAAGTGTTTTTCTCTTTCTATTTTATTGTTTCATTTAAAAAATTGGATTCTTAGGGCAGCTAGGCGGCAAAGTGGATAGAGCTCCAGTCTTGGAGTCAGGAGGACCTGAGTTCAAATCTGGACTCAGACATGTAACACTTACTAGCTGTGTGACTCTGGGCAAGTCATTTAACCCTGACTGCCCCAGCAAAAAGAAATAAAAATAAAAATAAATAAAAAACTGGACTCTGAATGAGGGGATATGCCATTGAACAATAAAAGTGATGTAAAAGAAAAATATTGATAGAAATTTTAAAATATGAATAAAAGAACAAATGAGTTTATGAATAAATAAAAAAGTAAATGAACAAATAAATGCATGCATACATCCACAAATTAATAAATACATGTCCGTTGCACTGAATTAAATGGTTCAGCCCACCCTTAGTTTGGTCTATGAGAGTTATAGGAGAAAGGCAAGCCCCCAGGTACTCTTCTGCAGTCTAAACAAAGAGGGAAAAAGAGAAGGAAATGAAAGGTGGACTGCAGCCTGATCAGGGAAAAGAGGAGGCAAGTGCATTGCCAGTCACCTCCAGGAACCCCACTATTACAGGAGAAAGAGGAAAGGAAAGAATGGAACTAGCATTTATTAAGCTCCTACCATGTGCCAGGTACTGTGTTAAATACCTTATACATATTGTCTCATTTGATTGAAGAACCCTGTGAGTCAGGTGCTGCTGTTAGCCCCATTATACAACTGAGGAACTTAACAAATGTTAAGTGACTTGTCCAGGGTCACACATGTAGTAAGCATCTGACATGAGATTTGAACTCATTTCTTACTCTAGGCCCATTCTTCTGTGGTGCCACCTAGCTGCCCCTGAGAAAGACGAAGTGGGGAAGACTTGAAGTTATTGTTATTCAGTCTTTTCAGTCATGTCCAAATCTTTATGAACCCATTTGTGATTTTCTTAGCAGAGATACAGGAGTAGTTTCACCATTTCCTGCTCCAGCTCATGTTACAGATGAGGAAATGAGGCAAACAGCATTAAGTTACTTGCCCAGGGTCACATAGCTAGTAAGTATCTATGGCCAGATTTGAACTCAGGAACATGAGTCTTCCTGACTCCAAGCCAGGTACTCTATCCACTGTGCCATCTAGCACTGCCCTTTGAAGTTAGAGACACAAGTAAATCTCTGGAAAAGTCCCTGATGCATTTCCTTGTCTTTGGGTCCCCAGGGCATCAGAAAGGAGCTTCCTGGGGCTGGGACCAGCCACCATGGCTGTGCCCCCTACACCTGGGCAGCTGGAATGTGGTCATGACAACTCAACCGAAAGAAGAGCAAATGGGACTTTAGTTCCCAGGGCTGAGACACCTGGAAAATTTGTCCTAATTGACTGGATGCATGTCCTCAGTCTGCTCGTTGTCATAGTCGGGTTGGTAGGGAACAGTATTCTCCTGTGGCTCCTGGGCTTCCATATCCAGAGGAACCCCTTCTCCTTCGACGTCCTCAACCTGGCTGAGGCCCACGCCCTCTACCTTTGCAGCCTCTTTTTGCTACTCATTCAGGAATTTGTTTGGTATTTTATTCTGTCATGTATGTAGGAGTGATCTACATGACATTCATGTCCTGCTGTGGGGGCCTGAGCCTCCTGGCTGCGATCAGCACCGAGCGCTGTCCATCTGTCCTCTTCCCTGTCTGTTACGGATGTCACTGCCGCAAGCACACCTATGCCTCTGTGTGCGCTGTCCTCTGGGCTCTAGCGGGGCTGTTATGCACAGCGAATTATATCTACTGTGTTTCCTTCTACAGTAAGCATTTCTGTCCTGGTTTCTTCAACTTCCGGACCGTGTGGCCTTCGTCCTCATTTGTGTGCTGTGCAGCCTGAATGCAGCGGAGGGTCCAGTGCAGCTCCCAGCGCCAGCAACCGCCCAGGCTCTACCTCCTGGTCCTGCTCACGGTTCCCGTGTTCCTGTTCTGTGGCCTTTCCATGGGGATCGAAGGTGTAAAAAGGCCGTTTGGATTTAGATACCATGCCTAATTAGTTCCGTCTGCTCCTGGCCTCTGTGAACAGCAGCGCAAACTCCTTCATTTACTGCTTCCTGAGCAACAGAAGGCATAGAAGAGGGAGGGAGCCCCTTAGGGTTGTCTTCTAGAGGGCCTTGGGGGATGAGCAGGAGTTGGAGTTGGAAAAAAGACAACAAACCCCCCATACCAACAGCTGGAAGACTTCATCCTGAGGCTGAGAACAAGATGCTAAGACCTGGGAGCCCATGAAATGAGTCCTCTGCCACAGCCCCAGCTGTAGCCGCCTCCCACCTGCAAGTGGAACCAGAATTTTCCCACAATCCTTGATATTGGTGCCTGGGGTTTGAACTCTAAGTAATAAACTATCATCTATTAAGCACCTGCTGCATGCCAGGCACTGTACTAATTGCTTTATAAATATTTCATTTAGGGGCAGCTAGGTGGAGCAGTGGATAGAGCACTGGCCCTAAAGTCAGAAAGACCTGAATTCAAATCCAGCCTCAGACCCCTGACTCTTACTAGCTGTGTGACCATAGGCAAGTCACTTAACCCCAATTGCCTTACCAAAAATAAACAAAAAAAAATCTCATTTAACCCTCAAAATATTATTGGGAAGTAGATGGTCTCACAATCCCCATTTTATAATTTAGAAAACTGTGGCAGAGATTCAGTGACTTGTCCTGGGTTTCAAAGCTAGTAAGTGTCTGAGACTGGATTTGAATTCAGGTCTTCTTGACTCCAGCCCAATGCTCCATGGACTCTGGAACCCCTAGCTGGATGTGGGCTCTGGAATTCACCATGGCCTCATGTGTCACCAGTCCAGAGGAGGGCACACCAAACAAATGGCCACTGTCCCTGTTTTGGGCAGTAGAGGAAGAGGACAGACGTCCTCCAAGGCCCCATGTCTCCCTGCTCAGTCCTTGTCAATCTCTGTAAATGAAGACATAAAGTCAGAAGCCAAACTTCTCAAGGTTGCATGGGCCATGTTCTTTCACTTTGTCTTCTCTCAGACATAATGCATGAGGTTCCCACAGGCCTCTTCTCCTTCCCTGTCCTGAACGGAGGAGATTCCAGCTAAGCCATGCCCCACACACAGACACCATTCCCCACTCCTGCTTCTTTCCCTTCCTTCCTCCCACTCCCATCGTGGGAGTTGGGTCAAATACTTCTCTCCCTGGAAAGGTCAGGCTGGGGCTCAGCATCCTCTCTTGTTTCCAGTCTGTTTCTCCAGGTCTCTGTCTCTCTGAATCTCTATGTTTCTCTCTCTCAGTAACTCTCTCTACTCCAATCTCTTTCATTCTGCATGACTCGATTCCTACCGAGGTCCCTGTATGGGCAAGGGTATTGTAGGGGTGTTATATGCCAGGGAGCATCCTACTGAGGCCAAGTCAGGGGAAGGGGACACAGCATCTCTCACACATATATATGACACACAGAACACACAGAACATACACACAACACAGAAGGTGGGTTTATACCTCATGGACAGAAGCAGTATCTGCTATGAACGTTTCCATGAAACCTCGCTTAAGAATCAACAGCAGTTGGTAGCCATCACAAAGCCATACACATAGTAGGTGTCCAAACAATGTATAAGAGTTTCCAAGCCTCAAAGAGCAATACAAATATTTCACTGACTATTAACAGGCCAGTGACAACCTGAAAGGAAACAGCTGGAGAAGGGTCATGGAAATCGGTTTATGGCCTTGTGTTGTTTAATTCTTTTATAAATGAATTAGGCAAAGTTAGAGATGGGTTGTTCATCACATCTTCAGATGGTCCCAAGCTAGAACAGATAACCAATACTTAATGGCAGAGCTGGGATGTCAAAAGTTTTCTCAGGTTAAAATATTACATCAATTTAATACAATGAAATTCAACATGGATAAATGTCAAGCCTTTCGCTTCCATTAAAGAGAAATCAGCATCAGAAATAAAAGATGGAGAAGTCATGGGAAGATAAAAGTTCCTCTGGAAAAGATCTTGGGGTTTTAATGAACTGTAAGCTATTTATAAGTCAAGAGTATGAACTGCCTCTGAGCTCATATTGCATAAAGAATTTTAGGCTAATGATCTCAGTGGCACTGTACTATTCACAGAATTCTGGGATCTGCACTGTGGGACCCTGGGGGAGGGTCTCAGATCAGTTCAGGTCAACTGGCATTTACTATCCTCAAGGAGCTTACATCCTAAAGGGGAAAGCAACACATAAAAGGAGCTAAGATATGGGGGATTCGGGAAATAGAGGAATGAAGATCCTTCGCCTGGGGACATGGCAGGGAAAGGTCTGGGGGAGATATGTACATCTGGAAGGGAATAATGACATGGGGACCCTGAGTCTCCTAGTCCAGACTAGAGTGAGCTACCGCAGTAAAGAAGTTTTTATGAAATGGTGAAAGTCTTGTAGAGACGAATCAGGGTGCAGCCTGGAGAGGAGAGCCTCTCCTCATGAGTAATGAGCCTCTCTGACCACAGGAATGGAACCTCTACAGAGAGATGTTTAGTGTGCTCTGAAGAATAAGGAAGAAACTCTCCTCTTGAGAGGAGAGACTTGTATTGCACCTTAGGTACTCAGATCACCTCAGGCTTTGCTCCCTGCCCAATGGGCTCCTTGTAATATTCCAAGGACACAAAAAGTCCAAGTAACTGTTCTTTTACCAAATGGAGTTTCAGGCAATAACATCTCAGGACTGGGTAGGCAAGGTGAGCAAATAATGAGGACAGGAAACAAAAAGGGCTTGGAAGGCCAGCCCAATGCAAGGAATGAGATGGGTTGAAAATGGGGCTCCTTCTTGCGGTAGGGGGATGAAACAGATGATTCATCATTTCTGTGGCTACCAATAGCCACATCAGAGATCGTTAAAGTGCTTCTATGTGTCATTTCCATTTCAACTTCACTGCTCTTCCTTGGCAAATGGAGATGTCATGATGACCTTCCTCTGAAAATAAGGCCAGGGTGCCTAACTTCAGAGGTTAGGTTTTTGTTTTACTTTTTTCTGTTAGAAAGTGAATATGAATTTGTAAGAAAATTATAAAAATGCACAGAAAAATTTCAGCTGAGCTAGAGTTGACAGAATCAGACCAGAGGGGCAGCTAGGTGGCACAGTGGATAGAGCACTGGCCCCGAAGTCAGAAGGACATGAGCTCAAATCTGGCCTCAGACCAAACACTTGATACTTACTAGCTGTGTGACCCTGGGAAAGTCACTTAACTCCAATTGTCTAAAATAAAGAAATAAATAATAATAAAAAAGAATCAGACCAGAAAACACCTGAGAATGGAGATATCTTACCTCCTTCTGAAGATTTTTGAAGACCTGTGTCTGATCCTGTATCTGTTCTGCTTACACAATATCAAGGTCATAGCCTGTGGGGCACAGGTAGAAAAAGGGTAATTAAACTCAAAAATATGCTCAAAATGACTCTTCCTGGGCCCTTATATTCTCTCGTTCACACAGGCCCAAGAAGACACAGACTTCTATTTCCTTTTAGGAGCCAAGGACGACACTTTCCTTAGTTCTAGCCTCAAGAAACAAACTCCTCCAACCCATGGGAAATCACACAAATGATGATTCTCTGGCAATGCTTTCACTTCTCTCTCAATGGCTTCCTGTGCTCAGAGGCCTCCAAGGAATTACTGTAGGATGGGAGTGGACCATCAGCCCAACTCCACTTGCCTTTCCCTCAGGCCTTGGGTGCTGTGCAAAGTCCTATCTCCTGAATGTCTGTCTCTCACAAAACTTTTCTGTAAGTGAAACTGAGTATTCTCCTGACGCCTCCACTTCCTGCGTAGATGTTACAAGGGCTCTGATTTCTCCTAAACTGAATATAGACATGGGTGTTAGGCCTGGCCTGGAGCTTTGTATCCAGTCAAGGCCGTGGAAAGAAATGATACACATATGTGTGTATAGATATCTGTATATATTGTACGTACATATTCATATGTACATATATATTCTTTTCATGTGTGTATGTTTATAGTATGTGAATATGTATAGGCATAAGCACACACATAGGTTTACATAGACATATGCACATGTGTGTGGTTATATTTTAAAATATAATCCTGTGTCTCCATCTCCCCTGCTAGAAAGGAAACGCATAGACATTGGGTCAACCTCTATTATTCCTTCTACTCTGACTGGGAAAGATAAGTGGTGGTCAGGTTATGAAGTATCTTAAATACCTAACAGATTATTTTGTATTTCACTCAATTTAATTCAATAAATATTTCTTAAGCATGTACTATGTGCAAGGCACCATATTAAGTGCTGGGGATATGAAAAGAGGCAAAATACAGTCCCTGCCCTCAAGGAGCTGGAAATATTGATTCAAAACTAATTAGAGCCTAAATGATCTAAACTTAAAGAATGAGTGGGTTAAAAAACAAATCATAAAAACAATCAATAATTTCATAAAGAGAATGACAAAAATGGGACACCTTATCAAAACCCATACCATTCAGCAAAAGCAATGATCAAAGGAAAATTGATATCTCTAAATGCTTATATCGAGAAACTAGAAAAAGAAGAATTAGAACCAAAGGAAAAAGTGGAAATATGTTTAATGTGATTGTACATATAGAGTCTATATCAGGTTACATACCATCTTGAGGAGGAGGAAGCACAGGGAAGGGAAGACAATTTAGAACTCAAAATCTTATAGAAGTGAATGTTGAAAACTAAAAACAAATAAAATAAAAAAAAAACAAACTAGAAAAAGACCAGTCTAATGAATGCAATTAAAAAAAAAAAACTAGAAAAAGAACAAATTAAAAACCTCCAATTAAACACTAACTTGGGAATCCTAAAAATTAAAAGTGAAATTAATAAAATTGAGTCTAAAAAAGCATTGAATAAATAAATAAAACTAGGATTTGGTTTCATGAAAAAAACAGTAAAATAGATAAACCATTGGTTAATTTGACTTTTTTAAAAAAGAAAACAAAATCACTAGTATTGTAAATGGAAAAGGTGAATATACAACTAACAAAGATGAAATTAAAGCAATTGGGAGTTATTTTGCCCAATTATGTACCAATGAATTTAACAATATAAGTGAAATGGAATAATATTTACAAAAATATAAATTGCTGAGATTAGCAGAAGAGAAAATAAAATATCTAAATA